CGTAAATATAATATATTAATAATAAACAATGCTTAATAAAGAAAAAAAAATTGTTTTCACGTTGATCACTAAAATAAAAAATCTGTTTACTTTGTTTTAAAGCCACACAAAATTTGAACAAATGCAGACATGTTATTTTTATAAGGTAATACATACTATTCACTCAATATTAGCACATGGCATTTATTAGTGCTATAATCAAATAATTAAAATTGTAATTTACTAAGAAATTTCTACAAAAAAGATACCTACGTAAAATATAAATTATACTAACTATTTATAATAAAAATGTATAGCTTTAAAGCAATATAAATTGGATAGAAATCGTCCGACATCCATAATGAGAGGAATTAGTGTGATACGATGAATATTACCAGTAGCATAAAGCCATTTTGATATTTTTTTGTGTCGTCATGTACCAATGGAAACTTGACAATCATTGAAATGGTTTCAGAACGTCGGGTTATGGGTCGGAATTGACGCCACAAAGAAATTCCTTACCCGATATTCCGCTAACCCCGAGGGAACGGCAGATTTTAGAGCAGACCGCTGCGACTACTAGTCTGGTCCGTAGTTCGCATAGTTCCGAGTCGATTTTAAGGGATTCTAGTCCACCCCCAAAACCACCACTCCCTGAGAGGTAGTTTCCTAAGCTTCTCATAGTAGCGTTCAGTGTGGGGCAAATTATGAGTCAAGCGAAAGCTTACTAATACGACTAAAATTTTTCAGATAACAAGAAAATATGCACTAATTTGTTACATATATATATTATCAAATTCATAAAGTAGCAAAGAAATGATTTAACTATTTATATATATATATATAAATAGTTATATATATATATAAATAGTTAAATCATTTCTTTGCTACTTTATGAATTTGATAATAGTAAGTTCATTTCACAAATAATTAGTTCACCAATATTAATTCTTAACGCTTAAAACGTTAAAATTTGTTCACATTAATTTTAAATAATATTTTTACATGGAAAAGTATAGAGCATAGATTTGTTTATTTCATGGAGATAGTAAAATACATAGAATCGTATTATATCGTGTAAAATAAATTGTCATCCAGAAAATACAAATTAAGCTTCACTGAATTCGCTATCCATACAAAATTATTTAATACATACGTTTACTGATCGTTCGTTATTGTCTACTTCAGAAAAATGTATTAAAAAATAACACTGTATGTATCAAAAGTAACCGCCACGGATATTCAATTTAATCATGTTTGGGCTGTAAGTCTAAGATTGACTTGTCGTGGGGCGCATTTACTCGGACTGTCACCAGCTAAATTAATTTTGAGTGACTGATTCAAGTGGAGAACAAGTGATGTTCCATGATTTATGTTGTATGATTTATGTCATGGATATTTAACGCAATCAAACTGACTCTTCAAAACTGCTGAGAGTTAAACAATTGTTGCTTCTGGTCGAATAAAGAAAATTATATGTGGCTGATATCGTTTGTTCGGATCAGAACAATTAATTCCAACGATTTTTATCTTCATCGCAGCAAAACAAATCAAAGCAAATAGATTTACGAAACTTTTTAATTCCTTCCACTCAAAACAATATTTGTCAAGTATTAAGATTGGGATTATGAGTTCATTGACGAAACTTAATGCCCCACACTGACAACAAGCATGAAGTGTGTACGTAGCATTAGTATCGTTTTAAGCTCAGATGGATCAATTTTTGAATAATGACGTTAACGATTTCAAATGACCATTTTCGCTTAAGTTATTACTATAAACTTCTTAAATTAAAGTTAGCTGAGAATTGTCTTTGAACACCTGTATAATAAAAGATTAATAGATCCACAATTTTTAATAAATTGGATATTAATTGATTGTACTTTTTTTGCATTTCGCTTCAGAAATTTCTTCTATTCTCTTGATCTCTTCGGTTAAAAAACTATACGATATCTATAATTATGGTCAGGTTGCTTTCCAGAGTTCAAGAAATGGTCCGTCTGACGTGTAATGTAATTCTTACAATTGAGATTGCTATTGATATTTCAGAACAAATGTGTGTCTGTCGGAGGAAAATAGCTCTTCCGGGACACCGCCGCCGTTGCCCCCGAAACGGAAAACGCGAGCTCAGCAGTTGTTGGAGGAGTCCGAAATCCGAAGTCTTTTAGCGTCTAGTCTTGATAGGGTCTCCCTGCGAAGTCAATCTCCAGTGGATTCATCGTCACTTTTAAGCGCGTCGGGTGGAAGTCTGGATTCGGCTCTGAATCATTCTCGCGACGAGGACGAGATTAGAGCGATCATGGGACCAAACGACGAGTCTCTGAACGTCAGTATGGATAGCCTAATGGCTACTATCCAAGGTAACTTCCAATGGACACTCTGTCGATAGGACGATATCAATAGTTCTTTGTATCTTACTGGCACACTTTGTACATTGCTAACATGGTAAAGTCCCACAGGAGAAGGTCTACGATCTCAAAATTCAGAAAACTGTTCAAGTTACACAAACTGATTTTTACAAGACTTTATGTGAGATATAGTCTTTAAATATATTGTTTAAACAAATAACTTCTTATTACGTTCTATCGCAAATCTAAATTTCCCATTCAAAAACAAACAATTTAAAACAAAATTCAATTTTTTTCGATATCTGGTTTCCGAGATATCTCAAAAAATATGATTTTAACACCCAACATAGAGGGTTGTTTTTATCATTTTATTGTGGATGGTTGCCGATAAGAAAAAAACACGTGGCTAATATTTTCCGAAGAACTATATCTCACATAAGTTTTATTAAGGTCGACTTGTGTAACTTGAATATGTTCCTTTGTAAGTTCAAGAGTATGAAAGCAGAGACTGTTTAAAATGAGCACAGACAGAATGTCGTAAGATTTTTTTACATAGACCTGCAAGCATTCAACGATTGCCTTTTTTCTGTTATTTAGCGAATTTTTTTTGTAGAGCAGTGTGTTATTGAAATCTGGATTAAAAACAAATCTACTCGATTTCAGTAATTTATTCAAAACTTTTTATTCAGTAACTTTCAGGGTAGGATAAAAATAATTTAATTCTAATGAAGAAGTAGAGAGTATATATATAATATACATATTTTACAAATCAAAATAGCTATAACAAAAGTGGTTTAAAACGCAATACAATCACTGTTACAAAAGAAGAGAAACTGGATTGTGTTAAGGAAATAAATTTTTAATTTATTTTAATTTTGTTTCATGTAATATATTATGAAGTTTACAATGTTATCTATATTCTATTAACGTTGCTTAACTCATAATGCCCCAGAACATTCAGATAACGAGGACTTATACTTCCTAAGAAGGTCACGACAGAATTCCACAAGTACGTTTCCATACGTGTCCCGAACTACACACACCGCTTACTCAGCAAAATAATTCTAAACCGTGTTTGACTCAATCGTCAGTTTTATTGAGAAAGTCTCAGAGCACACACCACGTAAACCTGTTCTTTAAAATAGAAATATTTCATTATGACAATCTCATATGGAAAAGTAAGAACTGTCTACATGTGTTACGATTAAAAAATGTCATTATTTAATTATATGTATTAATGTAACAATTTCAATGTTTGGATATATATTTAAAATAATGTTTAATTATACTATATAATATATAATGTTAACAATAAATAACATATATTTTATCTGTATTACAGGCATGCAAGTAAATGGTACCTCAAACTGTAGCGGCTGGGACGGTTCTGAAACCAGTATAACAAGCATTATGCTGTTGGGTCAAACTCCCCAAGAAATGCTTGACGCGTTCACTGGTATGCAATACAAAATTCATTTTCGACCAGTGCCATAGCTAGGTAATGGGGCCAAGTGACGTCGCATATTTATAAGCGCAAAGAAAAATGTATGAGCTAAAATTACGCAAGAATTCCTCAAATAGCTAGTGGAGCAGGTAGCGTAGGCGTCAGATCTTCCAACTACGCGAATAAACAGTATCTTATAGATCTTCATCGAAGTTAGTGTAATCCTTTAGCATTCTTTCTTTCGACCCTTCTGAAGAATCAGTTCGATGAAAGTAGAAAGTTGATCATGTCGGCCGGTTGGAATTCGGAAACTGTGAAAGCTCTGCTCCGTAAGAAAGACAATTTTCCAAACGTTACCGGCGAAAATTTACCCGTTCTTAAATAAGAAACTCTCAACACGTTATGGTGCATTACACGGTAATCGTATTTCAGGTATTGAAGGAAAACTGGAACGATTATCCACTCAAACGCAAGAATCCGGTGTGGTATCCATGCACTCACAACGAAGTTCGTCCCAAAGTTACACCACCTCAAGCATCACATCCAAAAGATCGTCCCAGCAGAGTAGCATTAGTTACAACTCCCAGACGTTTAACTCGCAGCAGCAATCGTTTTCCCAGACCAAGGTGTCTTCTGACAGTAATGGGTCCATATTCACCCAGAAGACAATGAGTAGTTCGGAAAGTACCATTAGCACAACAAATATATCTGGAAACGGGGACCCTGCATTGCTGGAGAAATTGGTAAATGTGGGTGTTGCATGCTCGTTCCTGTGTTCTCTTTTTAATATGAAGTTGATTCAGAAATAGTGTCGCACAGTTTATAAACTATTCTATGGTAGATTATCAAATAAGTCATCAGCATTTGTAAGTTGAGTAGTTAACAGAAAGTTAATTAAGTAATTTGTAGACATTCTCAGTTCTCATTTACAGTTTATCTTTTATTTGTTGTCTTGTGTAATTTATGGTAATTATGCTAGAGTACGGTTTTTGTTGTGTATTACTGTCATAACCAGATGATAGATTTTTGTGCATTCATAGCTTGTTAGTACCTTGGGAAAAGTAAGATGAAGACAATTATTCATATAGATGCATTTCAACTTTGAAGTATTGTATAAAAATCGATAGTCCAGTTATGACATTGTAGAAATGTTGTATCTTCTTCCATACTTATATTATTTTTATATTATGTAGGAAATAGAATCGATTTCTGTGTCAGACACGAACGGCGTGCCTCCGGCATTGCCGGAGAAGCGTTCGAAACGTAGAAAAGAGCGTCAGCCGTCGCAGTACGACAATGTACCTGAGAACGAGCATTTATCAACCTGTAGTTTACATACCAGTAATGGCGACAGTCCGGATGCCAGTAAACCACCGCCGCTTCCGCTCAAAAAGAGACACAGTAAGTCGAACTGTAATTAACAACCAAAGACCATAATAAAGCAATTTACGACCAGCAGTTGAATCTACGCTGTGTCTGCTTTATTACTGTCTTATACACATAGATCTTAGGTACAATCATTACGATACAGTGAGAATAGATTTGGTCGAAGATTGAGTTAGCAGACAAAATTATTCTAGAAATTGCCTAGATTATATTTTAGAGTAGATGTTCCGAAATCTCTTCCTGGTAGTAGGATAAAACTGATGAAATATTTTGTATCCCCCAGTGTTCCAATCAGTGGCATATTCTGGTAAGTGGGGTCCTGCCCACACAAATCAGCTATCCCACAGCAAACACTTTCACGCTAAGTTGGAATCCTTCGTTTCACGCATTAATACACGATTTTAAGCTCCTAGCTTCTTTGCGGCATGTTTATGATCTTCCATTTATTCTCTCATTTTATGAAAATGATTTGATACATATCATTTGGTTTAATACCGAGCTTGGATATTTTATTCATATCTTTAGCTTTCTCATGGCTTATATATTAATTAATGTGACATTAAAAACGGACAATGGTATTACGTTTCCTTTCTTTTGACAACGTCGAATTTTAGAAAATTGAGTTTCCCACTATTTTCTTACTTACAATGGCGTACAAGAAGCAACATTCTCCGAATTTATTTAATTATTCGTGTTTAATGCACATTATTGCACCTCTTTGGACTTTTCATAAATAGTTCTGCTGCGAGTTCTAAAATTCATTAACAATAGAAACTAATCTTCAGCTACTCGCGTGGGCGTCGACATTGTTTCACTAATTGACTTGACCTTTTCTGGCTAATAGTCAGTTAACACTTATGCTTCTTCAACTGGAACAGCTCCAGAGAGTTCAGTTTCCATCTTCACGATTATGTGTGAAGAATCAGCGAAATAGAACGGTTTTGCTCTAATACAACAGTTTTACAAATGAAAGCATTCGTGCCCGTATAATATCTATTTCGTTGTCTCAAGTGCTCGTTTGATTCCGAAGAACCGAATTTATCGTCTATGCAAAAATGTTGTTCAAAAGATTGCATTCTCATTCCAGTAAGTTCATTGCAAACTTTGCGTGCTCGTATTTTTCTAACAATAAGTCAAGATACACGCTTGTGCATCAGTGTTTTTTCTGTATTTTATTCACCTGCGCTTTTAATACTTTTCATAACATAAATCATGCTTGTATCTACCATATGTATTATACATATCATGGAATCACATTTTCATTTATTTTTATGTTATTACACCATTCGCCATCCAATGCATCGTAGAATTACTCACACTTGGTTGTATCTATTTCAGTTATGGCGTACATGGAGATGTTCGGGAACTGTTCCCACAGTAACAATGACTTCATCTCTGGTCTTGGGACTCGCCATTCAGTAGCAGCTTATAATTCAATGCAAGCAGAATGGCAAAAACACGAGATGGCCCTCACTACCACCCAGTCGTGCTCTTTTATGGCACACACTATGACTACATTACATGACAGCTCAAAGTATGTGATTTTACTTGTACAGGTTCATGCGTTATGACACTACATTCATTTTTTTTTTCGTTCTTTCCAGTACCTCCATAACTATGACACCGCCGGTATCCGAAGTAACAAATAATTCTAGTCTCCCACCTGCATTGCCACCAAAGAGATCCCGTTCCATTAAATCAAACGCAACACCTCCACCTATATCACCGAAACCCACTGTTAGTATGCAAAGTATACATACGATCGACCCTGTAGTAACTTCGACACCAGTGAAAATAGAAGAATCGGTATGCACCCATGAGAAGAAAGACATCACACCTTCGACGCCGGTAAAATTGGTAAAAATCATATTAATTTTCAAAGTATGACAGACATTTATAATGCATAACTGTTTTGTAATAGCAAACATTTTGCTTTTCAGAATAATGTTACCTTAGAAACAATATTGCCACCTTCAAGACCTGCTAGCAATGCACTGTCGACCGTATCAGTTGACGAGAGCACTCTTGAATTAAGAGACGTCGATCAAGATGTAAAGTATTCTCCAAGTATCCTTGAGGAACTTGATGTTACCAAGTATTTAGTATTCAAGAAACCTGACGAAGAAGGACCTGATATTCGGGGAGGACATCCGGATGCACTACTGATTCATGCAACCAAAGCTAATAAACATGGTAAGCATTACTTCCATTATTCTATGAAATATATCAGTATTCTTTAAAGAATATAATCATTGCATTTTTTTCATGCTTCTTAGATGAGAAAGAGTCAGGTCAGTTGATACCCTCTTCGACATTCGCTTTAAAATACAATTTTAATATGCAGTAAATTCTCCCTAATTGACCCTCAGCTTGGGGCTCGTTTTTATAGTTGTTGACAATTGGTAGCTATAAAAACGAGCCGCAAGGCTTGAATAATCGTATCTTCTCTTCCCAAATTGTCCATTTTTGTGTACAAGTTGAGGGTCAATTAGAGAGAATTTACTGTAAGTAGTAAAAAACATCTAACCATACAAAAATTCCAAATTTAACATGACATTTATAAATCTATCATTTTGCAGACTTCCTATATCAAGAAGCATTCTTAACAACATATAGGACCTTTATGCAGCCACTTGAATTAATTCGGAAATTACACAGACGTCATCAATTGTTCTCTTGCTCTGCTGACGTCATTGAGCAAAGGGCAGCTCGCGAGGCGTTTTCTTTATTAGTTAGAGTCGTTAGTGACTTAACGTAAGTTATTTTGATATTAATCGTATTTCCAGTAATCAGAGACTACTCAAAAATATTATTTTNGAAACCCACTGTTAGTATGCAAAGTATACATACGATCGACCCTGTAGTAACTTCGACACCAGTGAAAATAGAAGAATCGGTATGCACCCATGAGAAGAAAGACATCACACCTTCGACGCCGGTAAAATTGGTAAAAATCATATTAATTTTCAAAGTATGACAGACATTTATAATGCATAACTGTTTTGTAATAGCAAACATTTTGCTTTTCAGAATAATGTTACCTTAGAAACAATATTGCCACCTTCAAGACCTGCTAGCAATGCACTGTCGACCGTATCAGTTGACGAGAGCACTCTTGAATTAAGAGACGTCGATCAAGATGTAAAGTATTCTCCAAGTATCCTTGAGGAACTTGATGTTACCAAGTATTTAGTATTCAAGAAACCTGACGAAGAAGGACCTGATATTCGGGGAGGACATCCGGATGCACTACTGATTCATGCAACCAAAGCTAATAAACATGGTAAGCATTACTTCCATTATTCTATGAAATATATCAGTATTCTTTAAAGAATATAATCATTGCATTTTTTTCATGCTTCTTAGATGAGAAAGAGTCAGGTCAGTTGATACCCTCTTCGACATTCGCTTTAAAATACAATTTTAATATGCAGTAAATTCTCCCTAATTGACCCTCAGCTTGGGGCTCGTTTTTATAGTTGTTGACAATTGGTAGCTATAAAAACGAGCCGCAAGGCTTGAATAATCGTATCTTCTCTTCCCAAATTGTCCATTTTTGTGTACAAGTTGAGGGTCAATTAGAGAGAATTTACTGTAAGTAGTAAAAAACATCTAACCATACAAAAATTCCAAATTTAACATGACATTTATAAATCTATCATTTTGCAGACTTCCTATATCAAGAAGCATTCTTAACAACATATAGGACCTTTATGCAGCCACTTGAATTAATTCGGAAATTACACAGACGTCATCAATTGTTCTCTTGCTCTGCTGACGTCATTGAGCAAAGGGCAGCTCGCGAGGCGTTTTCTTTATTAGTTAGAGTCGTTAGTGACTTAACGTAAGTTATTTTGATATTAATCGTATTTCCAGTAATCAGAGACTACTCAAAAATATTATTTTTCTCTAGGATATCAGACCTCGATGATACTCTTCTGCAAACCTTAATGGAATACGTACTACAATTAGTATGCACTGGCGATCTCACAATGGCGAAGGCTCTGCGAGTCAAAATTTTAGAGAAGCATCAAGCGAAACAGTTGCAATCTGCGCAACCAATCCTCTCGTCTCTGAGCGTGACAACGAAGCAAGCTTCTCTTCTCGATTTTAAGAGCGAACAGATAGCTGAACAAATGACCCTGTTAGACGCAGATTTGTTCATGAAAATCGAGATACCGGAAGTGTTGATCTGGGCCCAGGAACAGAACGAGGAGCGAAGTCCGAATCTAACTAGGTTCACGGAACACTTCAATAAGATGTCGTACTGGGCTAGATCAAGGATATTGGAGCATAGGTTAGAGAACGAGGCGAAGGATAGAGAAAAATATGTGGTTAAATTTATTAAAATAATGAAGCACCTTAGAAAGATCAATAACTTTAATAGTTATCTAGCCTTGCTTTCTGCACTGGATAGCGCGCCTATTAGAAGGCTCGAGTGGCAAAAGCATATTACAGAAGGCTTAAAGGAATATTGTGCTCTTATCGATAGTTCTAGCAGTTTTAGAGCCTACAGACAAGCTCTAGCTGAAACGCAACCGCCATGTATTCCATACATGTGAGATCCATTTTCAATTTAATTGAAACATGTTGCGATCTAGAAGTCTGTGACAAAATAAATACTGTGTCTATTTTCAGTGGTCTCGTGTTACAAGATCTTACATTCGTGCATATTGGAAACAATGATTTATTACCTGATGGCACTATAAACTTTTCGAAAAGATGGCAACAGTTTAACATCGTTGAAAATATGAAGAGGTTCAAGAAAGGGTAGAGTCATCTTTCTCTATTTTATATTTCAGTTAATTTCGTCTGAACATAATCGTAATTCATGAATCTCTTTATTGTTTGTTACAGAAGATACTCGTTCAAGAAACATGAACGTATAATAACGTTCTTCAACAATTTCAGTGATTTCCTCTGTGAGGAGGCCATGTGGCAGATTTCAGAGAGTATCAAACCGCGCGGAGGTAAAAAGACCCAGTCACAGAACTAGAATATATCTAACCCTTTCACTGCCTGCGTCTCGAAATCGAAAGGCTGAACCAATGAATTAGAATGTTTATATTTATGGTATTTAGGTAAACGCTTAATTACAAAACCAAACGAAAATCATACAACACACCGAAGGCAGTGAAAGGGTTAGCTCGGTCTACCCCGTTTCAACAGCCTCTGTGAGGTTGTATTTTACTTTATGGGAATTTTAATATTCAGTCCATAATCAAGGAACAAGAGCAAAAGCTAAGCACGTATATAGATTAAATTGAGACTTGATGTATTCATTTCATTTAATATAATCATGTTGTGCGAATATCGATTGAATCGAAACGTCGAAAGTTGTGAGGCTACGAAGACTCTAAATGAATTAGATAGATCAAATAATGTCTCAAGCGCATTTTTGTAGATATTTTCTTTTTGCCATAAGATAGTGTGAAAAAATCATGTTTGCTATGAATCTACGCAACATTTACTTAAAAAGATGCAGCTGTAATGATGCTTAACATAGCACAAAGGGTAAGAAACCCTCACTTGAACTATTCTATATGTATGTCTATATGAGAACTATTTATTTATTTGTTTTTAATCAGCGAATTGTAAAAAGTAGTGGATGTCCTTCTTTTTTTTTAACTTATTTAGATATATACATTATATATATACATATATATATAAACGTCCATTATATAGCTTTAATGTAGGTAGAAGAACTTTTCGAACGTCAACAGTGAACTGTTGACCGCGCAAGGAAGAAACACCAATTCCGTTAATTAATGTAGAGCCATTGTGGCTTCAGATAAGCGCCTGGTCGTCACGCTTTTCGGAGCACATGGTACGACTTGAGCGTAACTGTTACATATACTATTGTATATGATTATATAGAGAACACTTTTTGTTGGAAACTTGTTAATAGGTATCCAAGCTTTCAGCTTTAAGTCGAGCGGTTACCTAGAGGTATAGGTAAATTAAGTATGAAAAAGAAAACCACAGTCGTAACGGTAGAATTGAATTGAAGTTTTGAGCATCACCTTCTATCTTATCGCCATTCGGAAAATGTTTTATATATTTTACAACCAGTAACGCTACATTTATAGTTTTCAACGATGAAAGTGAGAATATTGTTTTCTCTCGTAATACATTCCGTTAGATCGAAGGAATCGAAGGAATTTACCTATTTTCATTTAAAAAAAGGAAAGAACAATTCACGTCTCCGTTAAATTTATCAGAATTTAATAGAGTGCATCAAGTTTTAAATCTAAGATAAATGACACCGCTGTAATGATAATGGCTGTCTGTGTGCCTCATATTATAGGGTGAATGAATATCTGCCTATTAATTGATATTTCTCCGGTTTCTCGTTTTTTAGAAATAAATGTCTTATATACAACACTCGACGGCAGAGCTATGATATCCTGATAATCGGGCTTGAGGGGATTTAAATAATTCTGTCATTTGCATGTTAATGCGTTCCGTGTGCGACGGCAGCAGGCGTGTCGTACAGATTTATTATTCACGGTGGAAAGGCCTCTGCAGTTGATAATTAGCGTCGGTCTATAAACATACGCAGTTTATTGAAATACTTACCAATACTTAAACGCCGTGGATAAAGGCAGAATAGCCACGATTAGTCACAAGGTGTAGTTAGAGATTTGCTATTACATATAAATATGATAAACAGTTGTCAATTTTCAGGACATGCACCAAATATACATACGTAACTTTAGCTTTCAATATCAAAGTCACCGGGATGTAACAGCCGATGAAATTGTGATTAATATAGATGCACTCCGTTAATATCAGTGGTAAACAATGGAAAAAGAAAATCAAAAAAGATACAACCTTAGTTACAAAATTTTTAACGAACCATATTGTTGCGCCGAGTAATTAAGCGAGACGGTATAAGTACGATGATGAACTTTGAATTACTTTCAACGTGAATTAATGCTGCGTGATCGTGAGCGAATGTGGGTGATAATACAAAAAAAAAACATATTTCTGTTCGTATAGTTGATACGTATAAATGATTCGTCTAATCTTAAGGCTAAGAGGAACTTTATTAACGTTGTACATAGTTTGATCGTATTCATAATTTCTTGTACGTACGCGAGTGTCTTCTATTATTCGTAATTGTATATACACAATGTATTATCTTTACATTAACTTGCGCATGATGTAATAAGCTCATACATTTTTAAGTTCATTGAGATCATTGTGAAACCTTGTTGCGTTCTCATATGCTAAACGATCCAGTATACATAGGAAGTTTCGAAATCATGCAACAAGTAGCAACCAACAAATATGTTACGACAATCAAAATCAAAAGGTCATAACTTTATTTTGTAATCTAACATTTCATTTCAAAATACAAAAGATTTAATATCAAATTATAACTGTTCATATCTCGCAGGAAAACTCAGATTGTAAAATACGAACGAAATTATTTGATTTCTTCGGTTATAACGAACGAGTACTTGATACATGATTTGGATGTACTTCTATTATTTTCAATTTTGTTTTTTTTTCTGTAATTTTTTTTTAATACAATCATTGTCTCATCTTTCCAAAAATTCAACGCACTTTTACTTTTATATCACACCATCCTTTGAAGTATCCAAAACATACATGTATACATAATTTAAGTTTCTTCAGTGCTTTTTATCAATTTTATTAATAATTTTATATATAGTCATTTACTTTAACGTGAAATGAAACTATGTGGATTTTCTAGTTAATTCTTCCTCGACTTACTATGAACAAAATTTTCTTGTAAATTTCAAGTAAATATGTAAGCATTGATTTTAAGGTAACTTTAACGCTAACCAAACATGAGTGAGATAAAACAGTGAATATGCAACGAAAAATGTAGTCTCAATCAGTCTATTAGATAGAAATGATAAGCTTCTTCACGGTAGACAATAGCGCTGTGACGAAAGTGAATTAATTTGATAGTCATATTGATAATAAGATATTTTTGAGATTTTATTGCTTCAAGTTCCTTATAACAAAAATACTACTACTGTGTCTGTACTAAGAAGTTGAAATTCCTGCACTTTGTGTGCTTCGAGGACTAATACTTTTTCTAAATTTCGTCTAGAATTATTATTACATAGAATAAAATTGTTTTAGAATTAGTATAATATAGTTATTGGTTTAATGTTTATGTAAACCAATTACCAAGGAAGAGGGAAGTAGTTGCATTGCTCACTTCTTTTTAGATAGCAAAGATAAATTTTCATTTTCTTCCAAATTTGTACATAATTTTAAAGCAGTTAATACAATGTTCCTTAATTTATCACTTGCATTAAAAACTCTCTTATTTCTAACTAAAAAGATACGATGTTACTATATCAGTTAACTGCAAGTACTTAAGTAAGCAAAAAGGTAGAATATCTAAGAAATATGTATGTGCAGCAAGCTTTCCATTTATAATATGACCCACAGTGAATTTAGTTTTCCTGCGACAGTTATAAGTCTCAGGCAAATATATCTTATTATCAAGTGGATAGATTGGTCCTTGCGATAGTATCTTTTTGAATCTGATTAACCAGATCTAAGCTAACATAGGCGTAAATATAATGAATCTGTGTTTTTTCTATCTTCAGCTGAACGTAGATAGTAGCTTCTAAGGAGACAGTCTGTACACGAAAATGGACTCTAAAGCAATTGCTGTTGAACTTGCTCTTACAATGCAAAAGAAAAAAAGAAAATTTGCGTGTCACGAAAAAATGAACGATGCTGTTTGATTGCCACATAGATCAGTACTTCCATGGCGAGGGGTATTTGCACTTTTAAGGATAACATTGTACATACATGTATACATATTATATTACGAATTTAACGATCGAATGAACCATCGATCTCTTACTATATATTTTCAAAAAGAAAAGTATGCAAGTTTTTAAGCCAGGCAAACACTCGAATCAAAAGCAAACGTGAGAGGAAACTCATCAAACGGGAATGGGGAACTTTGTTTAGGCGTTTGAGATTAAATATCCAGTGAACTGCACGTCAAATAACTCTCGCCGAAATTGAATTTAACGATGTTCTGAATGTATCGTTCTAACAAGGAAACAATAAGTAATATTCTTAGCGGATATCGATAAGCATCAAAACAAGTAATAATTACTATTAATGTGTTACTGATCTCTTATCGCAACAAAAAATATACGTGTAACTTAACATTAAATAGATATGATGGTAAGTATTATACAAACAATGATACCGATAAAATAATAATCACAGTGATTATTGATGCTCTGACCGACGTACGTTCAAAAGTATCTCAGTAAGGGTGTCAGTTTTCATGCAAACAAAAACGACATATCCACATGGCACAGTATTGCTGTATAGAAGACAGTCAAAATGAACAATTTTACTTAGAATGGAATCTCAGATGCGGTAGTTGGTTTCGAAACGTCGTCTATATTTATACTTCGTTATTTTTTTCAACGACCAAGTAATTTGTTATTTTGCTCGACAGCATCCGATATTCGTAATTGATACCGTCTGATTGAAAACTTTGCAATTTTACATATAACCCCAAAGGAAATTTTTTAATGATGGCCTGTGCTATTGTAAATATTCAGTTGAAGTATATATCAGTTCCAGTATTTTTTAATGTATGTGTTTCTACACAACTTAAAGTCTTTATTGGAAAATGAACAACATTCGACAATATTAATATTTTTAATCAGTGTACAACTTAAACAATCGTAACATCGAGCGGAACCACTGTTTTTGGTTACGAATGCAGCAATGAATACTTTTTAATTATTACTATAAATTACTGTAAATATTGCAAGGACTCGAATTGATTTGCTAAAAAGTGGACGATTAGGAATGCAACTAAATGCAAAAAGTTAGCAGAAATATCAAAGGAAATTAAAATTGTTTTCTCTTTTTCATATGTTGTCAATCGAACAGTATCAAGTTGTCCAGACACAAAAATATAATGTCGAATTTCTAAGAATGTGTCAATGATTCGATGCTGTTTCACACAAACAACAAATTACTGAGATCGCGCTAAGTTTACGTTTAATAATCCTCTGCGAAAGTTATGTACAGGCTACCTTCGAAATAGTAACACCTCACGTTAAATTCGTTGTGTTGTTGTATTTTAATGGATCATTTTAATAATCATTATCACATGCAAATGGGTATGTTAATATCGAGTTTGGAAACCAATTGAAATAGTTTCAATCTACGATTCATGGTACTAACGTCTTCGGATTCATTCCTTAAATAAAAGCCAAGATCATTCTGCTGTTCATTTACCTCTAATCTTGAGAAACATTAATATCGAACGCTAAACAGATTTATGTTCTAGTCCACATTCGAAGCGTTAAAACTGCGAATCGAAATTTGCATCTTCATCCCTCATGGAGATTTTGACAAAATGATATCGAAAGACATTTATATATTATATGTGTCTAATCTGTAGGTATTTATATAGTCGATAGAACAGGTATAGAACTGATTCCACCCTAACTTCTTAATTAGTTAGGCTCAGCACCAAAATGATTCTTACCGTTTGGGCTAGGAATGGTTTAGTCGTGAACGATAAGAATTTTTAAAAATATATTCTTCCTGAACTCGCAAGAGTATATAACTTTCTCCCCCTGACTGTAAACACGTCAAAGATTATTATCGTGGTTAGGGTACAGTCAGTGGAAGAAACCAAGTGAAGCGAGAGACGAGCAACAGAAAAAATCAAATTGACGTGGATCGTTGTATTGAACAGTCTAGGGACAAAGAGTAGAGAAATGCGACATTTCTTAACATTCGCGTACGAAAGAAATGTTTGCTATATCGTTTCTACCGACTATATCGACACGTAATCGTGAAGCGTACGGGAAACGGAACACAATTCACTGAGCATATCATTTGTAAGCGAGCGATTACTAATTATCATTGTACCCGAAATCCCTTTCAATTATTCTCCGCTACGAGAAGAAGAAGTTTCGACAATTACACCGAGGAAAGATAAATACACGTAATGTTATATATATATATATGCTCACGCGTTTAATTGTGCGATTTATTGCGTATACCGGTCATATTTTTCTATGAACATTTTTCTTACTCTGCTGGAAACACGCGCCCCGTTTAGAGCCACGCGTTTATTTCGATGCGAGATCATACGCACGATTAATCCTAAGTAAACGTACCTACGATCATTAATTACAGATATTGCCGTGGAATATATTTTCCTTCTGTTTCGTCGGTCTGCAACTATTGCGTATGTTGGACATATATGTTTGTATGCGTATGAACGTTTTCGAACGAATGGTTTTGCTTCTTTTGTAATAGGTGTACGAAGAAGTGAAATAAAAATGTGTTAAAGTCAAAATGCATTGTGATTATACTCCGACGAGGCGTGCATTACAATCGACTCGAGACACAATTGGATGACTGTTAAGGGAATAAAATGAAATTTTGTAGATACACATTCCTACACTTTGTTAAGCTTCTTATTATACATCTTTCAATACATCTGTCGCCGTAACAATACAAATTCAGAATACAGGGTGTCCAAAAAATATCTCGCAATCCCAAAATGGGAGGTTTCTGAGGTCATTTGAAGTAACATTTTCCTTAACGGAAATGCAATCCGCGGTTTTGTTTGCGAGTTATTAACGAAAAACAGTGACCAATGAGAGGCGAGATCAGCTGACGGTTGACCCAATGAGCGAAATTGAGCTTCGTGCACTCATTTTTTTAAATTTTAAATTAAATATTTTTAGTTTATAAATAACGTTAACAAATTTCCCCACATCTACATAACTGCTGATAATAAGCTTTATTTAATGAACATCTAGTTTCAATATGGAAGCTACTATTTTTTTTTATTTATTACGCTGCTAGAACCCCGCATGGGTTATCAGCGATGAAGGTATTTTCCTTGATTTTTTCAGGTATTTTCCTTGAAATATAAGAAGGAAAGAATCAGCACTTCACAACAAAGATCACTACGTGGCACGTCGTAGTCCTTTCTTATTCATTTTAATCTATTTTCACATTGTCTTCAGATTGAATTTAAACGAATATCATGTTATTGTTACAGATCTTACAGATCTTACATCGCGATGTTTTGCATTATAGTGTTTCGAAACGAATTATCGCGGCTTGTCTTTGAAATCGATTTCAAAGTTAGCGTTGAAAGGATAATAGCGTTGCAGTAGCTTGTTACGTTCTGTCTATATGAATTAATGAATAAAGAGACTATGCGCAGTTTCGAATTTACCTGCTTACACTGGTATCAATTCGGAAAATTTGAAGGAATAAATAAATAAATGATTTTAATTCCATTTTGAGATTCGTGGTATTTATTTATTAAAGAAAAATATTTTAGTATGATATGAAATTAACAAGATGTTTCGTAATCTAATATGCTATTAAATTTATGTTAAATGGCTCTCTCAGGGACCCAATCGACGGGGTCGTGTTGAGACTTATCTACATGCAATGATTCTATGGTTTGGGGGCAATCATTTGCTGGGTTGATACTGGATTTTGTGTTTCGACCGGCGAGAGTATGTCCATGATAGAAGAGTATCTTAAAACATCATTGATCAGTCGTCGCATGATTCTACGTATCCATCTGAATTCTCTGGATTTACGGCCCCCACGTCGTCCCCTATGCGTCCTCTTAGTTTTTTTCAAACATTTCATCTAAATTTTAACAATTATTTTTAATTCCTATTTAAACTTATTCATGACGGTTTCTGTATTCTTATTATTTACCTCTGACGGCTGGGGCGCATTTGAAGTCGCCGTGATAGCGCCTGGATTGGTCGGTGGGTCGCTAGCTATACAGGGTGTTCCACAATTATTTTAACAGCCGAAAATGAGGAGTAGCTGCTGTCTCTTATACACATCTCCTTGACATATCAAGGTCAAATCCTGTCTCTTATACACATCTCCTTGACATATCAAGGTCAAATCCTGTCTCTTATACACATCTCCTTGACATATCAAGGTCAAATCCTGTCTCTTATACACATCTCCTTGACATATCAAGGTCAAATCCTGTCTCTTATACACATCTCCTTGACATATCAAGGTCAAATCCTGTCTCTTATACACATCTCCTTGACATATCAAGGTCAAATCCTGTCTCTTATACACATCTCCTTGACATATCAAGGTCAAATCCTGTCTCTTATACACATCTCCTTGACATATCAAGGTCAAATCCTGTCTCTTATACACATCTCCTTGACATATCAAGGTCAAATCCTGTCTCTTATACACATCTCCTTGACATATCAAGGTCAAATCCTGTCTCTTATACACATCTCCTTGACATATCAAGGTCAAATCCTGTCTCTTATACACATCTCCTTGACATATCAAGGTCAAATCCTGTCTCTTATACACATCTCCTTGACATATCAAGGTCAAATCCTGTCTCTTATACACATCTCCTTGACATATCAAGGTCAAATCCTGTCTCTTATACACATCTCCTTGACATATCAAGGTCAAATCCTGTCTCTTATACACATCTCCTTGACATATCAAGGTCAAATCCTGTCTCTTATACACATCTCCTTGACATATCAAGGTCAAATCCTGTCTCTTATACACATCTCCTTGACATATCAAGGTCAAATCCTGTCTCTTATACACATCTCCTTGACATATCAAGGTCAAATCCTGTCTCTTATACACATCTCCTTGACATATCAAGGTCAAATCCTGTCTCTTATACACATCTCCTTGACATATCAAGGTCAAATCCTGTCTCTTATACACATCTCCTTGACATATCAAGGTCAAATCCTGTCTCTTATACACATCTCCTTGACATATCAAGGTCAAATCCTGTCTCTTATACACATCTCCTTGACATATCAAGGTCAAATCCTGTCTCTTATACACATCTCCTTGACATATCAAGGTCAAATCCTGTCTCTTATACACATCTCCTTGACATATCAAGGTCAAATCCTGTCTCTTATACACATCTCCTTGACATATCAAGGTCAAATCCTGTCTCTTATACACATCTCCTTGACATATCAAGGTCAAATCCTGTCTCTTATACACATCTCCTTGACATATCAAGGTCAAATCCTGTCTCTTATACACATCTCCTTGACATATCAAGGTCAAATCCTGTCTCTTATACACATCTCCTTGACATATCAAGGTCAAATCCTGTCTCTTATACACATCTCCTTGACATATCAAGGTCAAATCCTGTCTCTTATACACATCTCCTTGACATATCAAGGTCAAATCCTGTCTCTTATACACATCTCCTTGACATATCAAGGTCAAATCCTGTCTCTTATACACATCTCCTTGACATATCAAGGTCAAATCCTGTCTCTTATACACATCTCCTTGACATATCAAGGTCAAATCCTGTCTCTTATACACATCTCCTTGACATATCAAGGTCAAATCCTGTCTCTTATACACATCTCCTTGACATATCAAGGTCAAATCCTGTCTCTTATACACATCTCCTTGACATATCAAGGTCAAATCCTGTCTCTTATACACATCTCCTTGACATATCAAGGTCAAATCCTGTCTCTTATACACATCTCCTTGACATATCAAGGTCAAATCCTGTCTCTTATACACATCTCCTTGACATATCAAGGTCAAATCCTGTCTCTTATACACATCTAGATGTGTATAAGAGACAGATCAATAACCTTGACATAAACTTGACATAACCTTGACATATCAAGGTCATATCTAATTTGACAAATAATAATCGTGTTAAAGGACGTAAGGGATATGTTTGTTAGAGAAATATGAAGAATATTATCAATAACCTTGACATAACCTTGACATATCAAGGTCAAATCAAGGTCATATCAAGGTTATATCAAGGTCAACATATGAAATTTTTAAGCAAGATGTACAGTGACTGTCTCTTATACACATCTAGATGTGTATAAGAGACAGCTGTACATCTTGCTTAAAAATTTCATATGTTGACCTTGATATAACCTTGATATGATCTTGATTTGACCTTGATATGTCAAGGTTATGTCAAGGTCTGTCTCTTATACACATCTAGATGTGTATAAGAGACAGACCTTGACATAACCTTGACATATCAAGGTTATATCTAATTTGACAAATAATAATCGTGTTAAAGGAAAAATAATTAATCGTTTGTTAGAGATATATGAAGAATATTATCAATAACCTAGACATATCTTAAAAATTTCATATGTCCTTGACATGACTTTGACGTAACCTTGACATGACCTTCACATGACCTTGACATATCAAGGTTATGTCAAGGTTATGTCAAGGTCATATCAAGGTTATGTCAAGGTCATATCAAGGTTATGTCAAGGTTATGTCAAGGTCAACATATGAAATTTTTCTGGATACTTCAGATTTTATCTATTTGGGTAGTTTGGTTTTTATCCACTTGGGAAAGATTCCTGTTTTCAAAATTTTCGTTACTGTACCGATTTTCATTTTGTGACATAGTGTAACGTACAGTGTCTACGTGTCAGAAGTCGCCGTGACAGTGTTGGTATCACTGTCACTGCTCTATTGTTGCTAACACAGCCCTCACTATCACTGTTACTTTTTAGTTTATGGCACAGGTAGACGGAACGTATCATTACTAAACACGTCTTATCGCGTCAACATCCAAAGCGAAACTGTTACCTATTTTCTATATCATATTATTTCATGTTTTCGTGGAATTTTGCTGAATATAACCATTGAGGCAAATTGATTTTTACTTTGGTAATTGTTTCATTGTTTTATGAATATTGCCGTTGTTACGCCGTAAACATGATTCGAACAAGAGTGACGAGCTGATTCTTGTTGTTACAGGAAAACGCGGCTTCTGTTCCAAGACACTGTCCTCCTTCCTCGATGTTCGATCTCTTAACCCTTTGCGAACGAGAGGCGACTCTCGGTCGCCACGGCGTTTCGCGCGGCAGGACGAATGGCGAGTGAGAGGCGACAGTCGGTGTTTATGTTAGATTTTATTATCTCTAACATTATTCAACGTACTGTTTTATGAGTAAGTCCCTGAAGTGGTGGCGCAAATTATTTTTCCGTGGACTGGAAATTTGTTTAATCAATTCGTACATTCTCTACAAACATGTAAAAAGGCAGAGAAACGAACAGCCAGTTACACATTTGAACTTTCGCAAAATTTTGATCAACAAATTG